ATAGATATATTAATAATTTCCTATGGGCAAGTAAACATGAACAGGGGTTTCAAAACAAAAGTATAATTCAAATATAAAGATTGTTAAGAAATCCTAAGGGGAGGGGAAAAAGAAGAGAAGGGGGGAGAAAAGAGAATGGGAAAAACTACTGGGCTAAACATAAGGGGAAAATCACAACTGTGTTAATTGAAGAACCACTACGAAATATTGCTTTAAGAAGAAAATTTACTTATACGTTGTATGTTTTGTAAATGTGTTTTATATGTGTTTTATATGTGTATTAATAAAGTTTATAAATTTTAATTTAAAAAAAGATGAGGGGCCTTTAAGTAAATTCAAATCTAAAACAGAAATAGAAGGAGAGCTGCAAAAATCTGGATGACCACTTTGATGCCTGGGAAGAGTTATTTTACTGCTATAAACTAATTTTATAGGAAAAATGAGGTTATAACTGAGCCGTGGTGGCACAGTGGTTAGAACGCAGTACTGCAGGCTACTTCTGCTGACTGTTGGCTGCCTGGAATTTGGCAGTTCAAATCCCACCAGGCTTAAGGTTGACTCAGTCTTCCATCCTTCCGAGATGGGTAAAATGAGGACCCAGATCGTTGGGGGCAATATGCTGACTCTGTAAACCGCTTAGAGAGGACTGTAAAGCGGCATATAAGCACTTGTTGCTAGTTTAAGATTCCATAATAATGAAATTTATTTTGGAATGAGTAACTGGCTATAAAGAACAATTACCAGTCACCTATACTGATAGATAATTTACTTCCCTTTATTGTGGATTTTCATCACAAATTTATTTTAATCTCCCATCCAACTGAACCATGTGTGCCATTATGGTGTTCCCTTTGTTTGCCATTGAATAATCCTCAGTACAATAATAGTATAAGCAGCATGCAAATAGTTATCAACAGTAGACCATCTGTATTGGACAGAAATCTGTGCCTCAATTAGGTGGTCATAAAAAGCAAAACAGATGTGGATGAATCAGCAGAGGAAAAAAGTGATACAGCCTGAACACTGATGTTTGTAGTTCATGGACGGACCTTTTCAATAACTCAAGATGGGTAAATTACACTAATTAACCTTTAAAAATTAGGTATTTCTAAATAATAGGTTTTAAACAATGCCTGTTCTTTTCATTTCTGCTCTTAAGTGTTTTGTTCATGACAAAGCCGTTTTTCATTTCAAGATTCATAAAGGTGATTACCCAACTCTTGCTCTGTTCCTTTGCCAATTATTTTATACTATATTTACACTCACCTCTCTGGGAAGGACAAATCTAGAAATAATCATAAAGAGGTAGGGTTCAAATAAACTATTCTTATACTGGGAACAATGAATTCAATATTTTCTGTATGCAGACAATGCTATTTACCTACTGTTGGACTATACTGTACCAATCTTACTGGCAGAGGGTAGTAGGTTGCTCTTAGGAAGCACAGAGGTGAGCTATTGCAACAATTCCAAAATGAACGTCTTATAAAATGAAAGCTTTGTTGATGAAGCTTTTTTGTGTGTAATGGCTGAGCATCGAGCATATCTCAATTTGTAATATGTTTAAGCAGATAATCCCTGTACAACATTGCATTTCTCCATTTCTACTTAGACTAAGGAGAGATTCAGTGAAAGGCAGTGGCTGACCTTGTGAACATAGCATTCTGCCTCAATGCCTGCAGTCGTGTTAAAATGGGATTCTCTTTAGAGGAAGTTCTTCATATCTTATGGTGTACTTACCTACCTATCATGCCTATGCTGTTTCTCTAAGTATTGGATGCCATTTTATGGAACAACTCCAAATGGCATTTGTGTCAAGCTTTCAGTGGCTGAAAACCTTGTCTCTGAGGCTTGTACAGCCCTAAGTAATTAATTATAACCATATATTACAATAGTATTATATATTAGTATTATAAATCATATCATTTCCCCATATCATGTTTGATAATGTGCATAGCACTGTTTTTGTGGCTTTTAAGAGTTCAGGAATCAACTTGTAAATATTAAAAAAATATTCTAAAAACAGAAGTAGGATTTTTTGAATAATCTATTGATTATTCAAATTGTGAAGAATTTGCGATTTGTAGTTCTGCATAGTAGTAGACACCCAGGCCTGGCTGACGGTTTTGCTATTGAAGTGAAGAATAAGATCTGCTCTACCAGCCAAGGTTTGGAAGCTGACAGGGTTGTCTACATGATACAGCTAAAAAGAAAAAAAAAACCAAGATGGTAGCCCAAATGGTGCAATTAAAACTCCACCTGCTTATGTATGCTGCAGACATGATATGCATAAAGAACAGCAGTTTCCATAGCACTGTTACAGACACCTTCTTGATCTTTTGACCATACCCTGTAGACATCTCTCAGCAGCTGAAAACCCACAGCTAAATAATCCTCCTAGATGTTTGTCATGTCTGAAGATAGCCAATTGGATTAGGTCAGTGGTGAAATCTAAAATTTGTTACTACCGGTTCTGTGGGCGTGGCTTGGTGGGGGGGAGGTAATGTGACTGGGTGGGTGTGGTCATTTTTTTTTTTTTACTTTTAAAACCATTTTTTCTACAACCTCTTCAGCGAAGAGGTTGTTAAAAAATGCTTTCAAAAGGCTCTGACGATCCGAGCTGAGTTGCCTGATCAGCAGAGGCTTTTTTTCTTTTAAAAGCCTCTGCCGATCAGGCAACTCAGCTTGGATCGTCAGAGGCAAGGATTTTTGCTACCGGTTCTCCAAACCACCCGCCTCCATCGCTACCAGATTGGGCGATCCGGTCCGAACCGGAGCATTTAACCCCTGGATTAGGTGATATACTGCAGGCCAGAGGCATGTATCAGCTGGTTGTGGTTCTACTTTTCCAGGATCTATCACTTGAAACTACTGTTTCATTCTAATACTACAAGAAAATGTGATCAGGTTACAAGTTTTAATTTAATTGCTCCAAATAGCATTAACACAGTGCTAATATTACTTAGGTGGATAATGAAATGTCTGCAAGTAAACCACCAACCTCAGAGCACCAAGAACTCCACGTATTAACATAGACGTTAATTCATTAACATTGAATTAACAAGTCTAATTCAAGATTTAATTTTGCAATTCTGCAGAATATCACAATTAATCATTTATGTTTCAGGTTTATGTATTCATTTCCATTAGTACATGTCACCATTTTATGACATTTTCATCGACATGTCCCAAAAAACTTAGTAGGCAGCTTACTGTATGTTACTATATAGAACTTGTAGCAATAGAATCTGAAATTTCTGGAGTATGGTGGTACGCCCATAATAAATCAAATAAAAACACATTGGTCCCTTGTGTCATTTGATTATTGTTCATCGCAGTTAGCCACATGTTCAGACTGGATTTAGCATTTTGTCCAGCTATCAAGTCTTCCCAAGCACTGGGATAGGCCAATGCGGAAATGTTAAAAGGTATTGTCGCAGGATATAAGCTGTTCTGAGTAAAGCTGCCTTTTGCAATGGACTGATGGAGTTTGTCAATACCGACTCTGAGTGGCTCGATTCTTGCTAAAGCCATTGTGACACCATTCTTAGCAACTGCCCAGATATGAATGCAAATAGTTCCTTTTTCACCTACTGTTCATGATGGTATCCTCATCCTACTACCAAAGGTGCTTTTCTAAGATCTCCATATGTTATGCACTTAATGTGATATACTTGTATGGGTGAAAACTCTGTATATGTATACATTTGGGAGAGAAATTATGAGAAACCCCCCCCCCACCCCCCCAAGCAGTGTCTGAATTCTGGGCTGGGCTAATGACCCAACTGATGTGATCAGACTCCTGTCAGTATCAATTCAACAAAGTATATTGTAGGTGTCATTCAGTTTATAATCTCTCCCAATTTCCTCTCTCTTTTTTTTTTTACAACCCTGTAATCCCTTAATTCGGGGTAGAGCTGGTAACAACTGGATGGAGTTGAGCATTTACTGGCTGGATGCCCTTCCTCACACCATGCAGAGTTCACAGCACAAAAATAACAAACTGTTTCTTTTGTTTTATATAATCTAACTATATGAACACATCGTTTTTTGGAAATGTGTTATTTGACTGCATTCTCCCTCAAAACTGACAAGTTTATGCCCATAGTGGTGGTAACAATTTGAAATCTCCCTTATTCAAAAACAACTTAATTTTAATTAAAATCAGCAAAAGGGAAACATCAACTTGTACCATACTTGAGGGAAGCACATTCTTAGAATTGTATAGGTCAAGCTCAGTCACGCTTGTAATTCTGTAGTCCTACTACACCTGGACTGTAATATTCCAGATGATCTCTAGATGGGAGCAGAGATGTTTGCTGCCATCTCATGGTTGTCTAGATTTTTGCAGCCCACTTCTAGCAACCCTAATTCTACCAAAAAAAAAAAAAAAAGCTTTCTATTATATGTCCCCTTCATGCTGCATGTGCTGCTTAAGAACCGGCTCACTCTGACTAATGGTAGGGTTGGTCCAGTGGGAGCTCTGTATGTGTGTGTTCTCTCTTTGACAAGCATAATTTTATTTATTTATTTAAAATCTGCTTACCTCTTAAGTTTTTATTCTAAATTATTTGCTTAGCATTTAGGAGTGAAAACTACTCAGTGGTAGTACAGTTCCTTAATTAAAATCAAACAAAGAGATCACTTATGTTTATTGAGGAAAAAAAATCTATTACTGTTCTTAACAATGTTAGACAGAATACTGAATGGTTCAAATTTCCCAAGCCACTCATATTTCCTGCTGATATGAGGGCTGTTCAAATAGGCACTTCACTTTTGGGTTTATTTATTAAAATCCTGCACTCAGCTATAGAAAATTAGTCTCCTAGAGATGAACCACTCCTTTCCCTGAAGAACTGACTGCAAAGCAGATATTCCAGAATTAGACAACAACATAAGACCAATCAGTATGTTAGATTACTCATCGGGAATGCTTCAGTATTCAAATAGAATTTTTAAAAATACTATTTTTAAACAGCACAAATTGTTAAGATTTCAAATGGCTTTTACAAAATGAGACAATGTGGTCATTTATTTATTTGTTTATGAAATGTATAGGCCATCCTGATCCACCAGTACTGTGGACAGTTTACAAAATAGAACAAAGAACAAGAATGCAAGCCAGACAGATTTATATAGGGTTATGGACAGTTATTCTATTAGGAATGAAAGATGTTATAAAAACAGACATTAACAACAACCAAACCAGTACTGATGGCTCTTTGAAGCTGTACACACAGATAACTGCAAAACATGGAAGAAAGCTGATTTTACTCCTTTGTAAAAATGTCCTGTCCTATAGTTTAGGCTGTGAAATTCTAGTGTTCTTCCTATTCTGTTAATACAGATGAGGACCACCCCTTCCATTCTCAGGCATCAAAGCACACACTTGAAGAGGGCAAGAATAATTATCCTCTTCCCTTGGATACTGATTTTATAAGCATTGAATCACTTGTATAGATTCAAATAAAGGGTGCTACTATTGTGTGTAAAATGAAGAACGTTCTAATACACTCCAGTTATAATTCACAGCATCTAATTCACAGGCCCGTGAGATTACGACATAGAAAAAAAAAAAACTACAGCTCTATGGTTTGAAATAATATGAAGTGTGGAGGAGGTATATATCTTAAATCATGCCAGGCAGAATCCCTTTGTGTGTGAAAAAATTATTGCTCAATATATGTTACAACTGCTTGAATTTACACAGAAGAATAAAAAGAGTAACACTAAACCTTTTAGATGGCTCTTTGTGGGATCTTGCTACTAGACAAAAGCTCTAATGGCAATGTATATATGTGGATCTACTGCTGAGAACCCAATTATGTTTTGAGAAATATAATTTTCATATGTATCCATCATCTTCAGGAGTGGAGCATGGATGATATGGGAGTTTTTGATCCAAATATAAAATTCTATATATTTTCTATATATTAAGGGAGCCACAGAATATATTAGTCATTCATGACCACCTAGAAAAAGGGTGTCAAACTCGCGGGCCGCGGGGACCAGATGCATCATGTGCTGGCCCCGGCCCTGCCTGGTTTAGCAAAGGGGGGAAGTCCCTATATGTCACGTGACACCACCATGACGACATGAGTTTGACACCCCTGACCTAAGAGGTCAGGCAAAAGACATTTTTTTAAAAAAAAAGATCTGATAGTTGAGACATCCTTCACTCCCATCCCTCTGCAGACTACAAGTTTCACTTTCTTCTTTCCTCGAAATTTATTATCCAAATTATCATTTAAAATTTGAAATACATTAGCTGATTGGCTCTGAGTCAACTGTGATTAATCGCTATCACTGTGTGCTTTCTCTGAATTCCATTAAAACCTGACACATCTGTGTAACATTTTGTTTTCTCTTTTTTTCTATTCAGTTTTGTTCTTCAATATTTTTATTTAGTGCTTTATAATGTATTTCGGTTAAACTGAATTGCATTAGAGAATCATAATTGTATCAGAACTTCCAAAGAAACAGTAGCATTATTTAATCAAGAGAGAATGTAAGCCAATGGAAACTCTCATAGCTCCTTGGGGACAACATTCCATGGCTGGGGTAGCCCTACGTGTAAATTAGCTCCTTATAAAAATGGACTATTCCTCCAAATGTTATGGCATCCAAAGTAGCAGCTGTTTTACCGATTTTAGTCTACTGGCCAGAATAGTGGAATTCAATACTCCTTCAGATATTTTGATCGTAACTGATAATATGCATCAGAAAAGCAGAGGTTTAACGTTATCCTAAAACCCGGGCTTATTTAAACCAATTACTTGTATTTCAAATTAATTGGAATTCTCTTCAATTACAACCATATACAGGTAGTCCTTGACTTACAACAGTTCATTTAGTGACCATTCAAAGTTACAATGGCACTGAAAAAAGTGACTTATCACTGTTTTTCACATTGTAGCATCCCCATGATCAAAATTCAAATGCTTGGCAACTGGTTCACATTTATGACGATTGCAGTTTCCTGGGGTTATGTAATCAGCTTCTGCTCCCTTCTGACAGTCAATATGGAATCCACATTCACTTAACAACCATGTGACTAACTCAACAAACACAATGATTCACTTTAACAACTGTGGCATGAAAAGTTGTAAAATGGAGCAAAACTCACTTAACAAATTTCACTTAGCAGCATAAATTTTGGGCTCAATTATGCTCATAACTCGAGGACTGCCTGTAACACATTTATAACATGTTTAACCTGGAGTTTGCCAGACCAAGAATTAATAAGATCAGCTATATTTTTCTACTATAGTCACAGCTATTCAGTCAAAAAATAACATGTGCAATGGTAAAACATCTAAGCACCACTGATTTGGGCTAGAAATGTTTGTTATCATATAAAGACTGTCCTAAAATGCAGATAGATGTCAAGCTTTTGGACAGTGAATACCACAAGCAGTAAATAATTCCAAGAGAATGAAACAGCAATAGTTATCGTCTGCAACGACACACTCCAGTTGAGTTTGATTCCAGGTGTCATATTTTCCTTTTCTTAATTTACTAATCTAGCATATAGTCCTGACATGTCTTCATAATCTCCCGTAAAGATTCATCTCTGATTATTTATTGATAGGGAGCTTAATCAGTTCACTTGTTATATCTATGAATGGCATTTAGCCTCCAAACTTGCAACAAAAGCTGTGGGGGAGGGGGAATTCAGTAATTAGAGAAATACATAAGAGGATGAGGTATCACCTTGGATATATTGCACCCAAAAAGTCTAAGGCTTTAAGCGTAAAAAGCAGCACCTTGAACTTAGCCTGGAAGTAAGTTGATTAAAGAGCTGCTATACTAGCCGTGATTATTATCCATTCGATCCTATGGAGATCAGATGGAAATAACAAAAGAGATGCCACAACTACAAGCATGCTTGCCTCAGAAACTCTCCCAGTTGAATTATTTCCCTTTGTGCAAATAATTATTTGCCCTTTTTCTCTCTAAATGGAAAATACTAATGACAAAGAGAAACTTGGTGTTTCGGATGGGGAGGGATTTTTTTTTTTCAATCTTGTATAATTGTGACATACCTGAATGCACTAGTTACAAGCCACTGATATATGGCATGCTTTATTTTACTGAAATCTGCAAGAAGAATAAAAGGCACATTCTGGAGATGGCAAGATGTGTCAATGCTCCACTCTGTAATCAATTGTTGAAGACATTTTACATGGCAGATCATAATGAAAGTAGTTTTCATTGAAGTTTGAATGCGGTAACTTCAACATTAGTCCTTCAAAGATGTTTTGGGATCAATCTCATTCCCCTCAATCAGGTCCACCTGCAGAAAAGACGGGAAAAGAATTTACTCAAAATCCTCCAGTGCTTTGGGATAAACAATTTTTTTTTTGGAAAAGCACTTAACGTTTTTTACTTACCGTATTTTTTGGAGTATAAAATGCACATTTTCCTCCCCTAAAAGTGGGTGGAAATGTCTGTGCGTCTTATACAGCAAATGTTGCCGAAGCCCGGCCCACCCGCCGGCCCCCACCCTTCGGCCATTTTTGGACTCTGTGGGTCACATTTTCAGCCTCTGCATGCTCCATTTTAGACCCATTCCAGGCTGCAGGTATCACCACAGCACATTGCCATCAATCGCCACATCCATGCGTCACGTTTTCAGCCTCTGAACACGTTTTGGGCCTCCGTGCATCATATTTTGGGCCTCAGCGCATCTCGTTTTCAGCCTCTGCACGTCACATTTTCAGCCTTGCACAACGCATTTTGGGCCTCCGTGCATTGTGTTTTCGGCTGGTTCCAGGTGGTGGGGATCGATGCCTGGAATGGGCTGAAAACACGACACGCAGAGGCCATAAACGGGGCGTGCGGAGGCCAAAAATGCAACGCGGGAAGGCAGCCCCACAGCCTGGAACGGATTTAAAATGGAGCGTGCAAAAATGCAACACGTGGAGGCCAAAAACATGACGTGTAGAGGCAGCGATGGGCTGTGGCGATCCCCGCAGTCTGGAACAGCTGATTGGTGGTATTCCTGGAGGCCGATCCAAGTGCCAATCAGCTGCTAGTGCTGAATCAGGCTGCAATAACGTGCTGAAGCTGACCAGGCTGTTTGCTGCTTGCTGAACAAAGCTAGCCAGATGAATACCAATGGATGCTGGTAGGCAGAGGTTGAAATTTTCTTTCTTGTTTTCCTCCCCAAAAACTAATGTGCATCTTATACTCCGGAGCTTCTTGTACTCTGAAAAATATGGTACTTACTCTAAGTTTGATATAATACCTATCATAGCATTCTGGGGAGGAGGAAAGGAATATTGTTCCATTACGTATTGAGAAATGTGATACGAAAACAATAGGCCAAAGACTGAGCATAAATTCTACTGGCAGGAAGGTGAGGGATTAAGTAGGTAATGGCGAAATTTATATTCTGGCTCTTTATGAAGACCTCAGAATGTAACTGTCCCTTTTCCTTCTTTCAATACTGGCCTCCCAGACAAGTGTATACCTTACCTGTAGAAACCTTACTCACAACAAACTGAGAGCACTCAGTTTTAAGATTTCAAAAAAAAAACCAGTCAGTGTGAGCAATCATTGGCTGGGATGACTATTGGCATCATTTGATTGAGCAGGGTTGAGTATACCTTGGTGAGTACTGCTTCTCTTAAAATGATGTATGAATTTCATACAGAATAGGGTATTAGTGAATGAAGAAATGAAGAAATTTCTTACAGATGGTCTTTTCCTCTCCACTAGGAGAATCCTCATCTCTTTAAGGGTTCCATGAACATTTCATAGTTACAAGTCTTTGTTTTTCTTCATTTATTTTGTAGCTTTGTGAAATAAACAGTCACATTTTCAGTAACACTCCTTGCCAGAATTATATTTCAACAGAAATTTGTTTGTTCCATCAGCATAGCACCCAAAACATAAAAACAAAATATTTTATTTTTTTCTACTAAAAATTCCATTAATGGAAAAGAGATATTTATAATTCTATTTCCAAAACATACTTCATTTTTCAGTCTAGATAAGTAATAGTTTACTTAATCAAAGTTTCCAATAAGAATTAGATAAATTCATGTGCATATTTAGTTTCCACCATAAAAGCTAGATAAAGAGTACTCAGTCTAAAAAGGTTAAATATGCATGAAAGCATAATGAAGTCTCATTGCCATAATCAAAGAAACTGATTTACCACTTTGGGCCTCCCTTCATTTGTTTTTCTCAGCAATGTTTGTTTGAGTGCATTGATCTTCTCATCAAGTTCAGCCAGAGAATAGTTCTGCCATTCAGAAAAAGACAGGAGCTTAGTATTATGAATTAGTAACAAAAACATTTAAATTAAGAAATAATTTGAGACCAAGCATGGAGTTAATATTCTGGAGAAAGGATGAACAACATATTTACAATCTTCCACACCAGTTTCAAAGCTTCCTTCATTTAAAGAATATCATGGTCTGGAATCTAAGATTACTTTGGTGGCAACAGTAATTTAAATTTAGATTTCAAACCATAATATGAATCCTGATTTTATATAGTGGTCTTCAGCTAACATTAAGTCTAATTTTTAAAAAGTGAGCTGCAATTCAAAGTAACAATAGCACTGAAGCTACCATTAGATATATGTGTGAGAGTCACATGGGTGTCAAATCTGTCAAAACTTTGGATTCAATTACAAAAGGGTGCATCTGAATAGAAACTTAGCACCTGCCCACAACTTTTTAAAGTAGCCACATTTTGTCAGTATTACATGGCAGTTAAAGAAAGCAGCTGCAAATCCTGAAGCAGGGAAAACAGCTTTAAAAGGTACAGGCACTACATCCCTGCTTCTTTATATTGCAATAATTTTCCAAATTATTTCTGAAATATTGCATAGCTCTAATGAATACAAAATTAATTCCTGACTTAAATACGAATGGCTATAGCAGGAAAATCTCCATGATAATTTAAAATGTTTAGTATTAGAACACAGAGAGAAAAAGACTTCATCGATTAAAATTTTTCAAATTATTAATGAGCTGTTAAACAAAATGCTGACTTTATAAATTGAAAGCCAATCTTAGAAAAAGAGTAGTTCGAAGAACATTATTTCAATATAAACTGCTTTAATCAGATTCAGATTTGTGTGGAATCCATGAAACTGCTAATAAATGCTTCAGAAATAACATGGAAAAAGTTCTTCAGGGTATATGGGAACAGCCACATAATCCCATCTGTTGCTCTTTAAAGCAGTTTCACCTTTCCTGTAATGCTGCATGATCTAAAACACCTTTTCACCTTCACTGAATCACCGAATCCTTCTGGTAAGTTTTTCAAACAAACAGGCAATTGCAAAATGTTGCTTTTTATGTAAGTTGGTTGTGAGTTGGCATGAGAACTGTCCCTATCAGCACTAATGGCACCTGGAAAATTGGTACAACTGCTGTTTAATTAAATCAGCAATCTGAGAACCAAATTTAAATATCTCTGACAAGAAAGTTTTAACTCTGGCCACATTGCTGTGCAAAGCTTAGAATTGCTATGCCAGTCAAGCAAATTTTACTCTGATGTTAATTTTGCAGGAAGACAAACTAGAATAAGCATGTAACCCTTTGGGTAATAGACAGAAAAAACATTCTGAATAAATTAAAGGTACACCCTCCATTTCATGGATTAGGGAAGCATCTTAAATTTGTAACTGTAAGCATATATAAATGTAGACTCACTTGATTTTGTTGAATTTTTCTTTTTTTCATAGACAAATTCTGTTAATTCAAATATATTATATATTATTACCAATTGTACCATAATTTTAATAAAAAGTAACTATCCTTTTCATTTAGAAAGACCTACATTTTTATGAATGAGAATTACTGAGCAGAAACTTTTTTCTCTCTCATGTAAGCCCTCTAAGTTTTTCTAGGGTGCATGTTCATCTCCCATCAGATAAGGAGCAAAGTGCTTCTACTATGCAAGTTATCATTGTTATTTTAATCTTTCTGAAAGAATTCCTCAGTCTTCTCTCTCTTCCCCCTCCCCACTTCTCTGCAAAAAAAAAAAAGCAAAATCGAGAAAAAGATTTCTGTTTAATGTGTTAATTTTTTTAACTGCTAACTCCCTTTAACTGAACTGGAGTGTTGGTTTTTAACTAGAAAGAGGACTCAAATAGGAACTCTGTATTACATGTGTGGTACATGTGTAGCCGTTTGATAGATCAGCTCTTAAGAGAAAATCTTCAGTTATATAAGAGGAAAACACTCTGAACACTTTTAAAAAGCTAATCAATCTTATTGAAACAACACCCCATGAATTTCCCAGTGTGTACACAGAATTCCTGTGTCTGCTAATAGCCCAATTGACCTTGATGGAAATCACCATGCAGAGCTATCACTTCAGATGAACTGAACAAGGCTGTTTCGAAAACTCTGGATCCAAATATACACGTCCCCATTCAAGACATTTAGAACAAGGTACCAAGACTTAATAACTCTACTTACCACAGACTGAAAATATTCAGGAGACATCCCTTCCAATTCAAGAATTTTATCTTCAAGCTTTTTTATCCTCTGATAAATATCTTTTGGCACTGGTCCACCTACAGTGAAGCATTATAAAGGAAAACCATCAAAAATATATCATGACTAGGACAATTTTAAAAATAAAAACGGAAAGTTTCAGAGGAGGATTAACTTTCCAACCAAGATATGATGATAAAAGAGTGAATAAAGGAGAGAGACAGGGCCCAAAACAATAATATTCTAATGCAATAAATTGCTGGGACATCATAAAGCTTTCTTGACAATTCTTTACATACATGGATGACAGGTTCCAAATATAGCTGTGAACCCAACCTGAAAATTAAAAAGGTCTAATTTCTTCATGTTATTTTCTAAAGATATAATTTTCCACTTTCTGTTCAACAAAGCAGAAATATTAAAGTGGCTAGATCACTGGAGTTCTTGCACAATGACTTTAAATGCAGGAATTTTATTTTATTTTGATTATGGTCTTCTTTGTGACAAGCTTATTGCTATATTGTGTATTTGTATATATATAAAGTACCTTAAAGCCTAATGCTGGGAAAGATTGAGGGCAAAAGAAGAAGGGGACGACAGAGAACGAGGTGGCTGGATGGAGTCACTGAAGCAGTCTGCATGAGCTTAAATGGACTCCAGAGGATGGTAGAGGACAGGAAGGCCTGGAGGAACGTTGTCCATGGGGTCGCAATGGGTCGGACATGACTTCGCAACTAACAACAGTACCTTAATATTTTATACAAATGCTGTATTGATAATCATAATTTGCCAAAATGCATCAATTAAATTTTATAGATTATCTCCAAGTTTCAATGTAGATTTCTATAATAAGTTTATGAATTAAATATTTTCATATTTCATTAAAACAGCTCAATAGCAATGTTATCCATTCAGCCAAAAAAAAAAAAAAGAGTCAAATGCACTATAATCAGACCAGGCTATGCCTCAGCAAAGTAGTGAAGAATATAATGGAAGGTCAAACAAGGGATGGGGGGAACCAAGGTCTTAGAAATCTTTGTGTCCATACAGTGAAACTATTCCAAATAACTAGCTAAAAAAAGTCACTTTTTACAAGATTAAATAGGGAAGAAAAAACAAGATAATATTTACTATATTCAATAATTTAAAGGTCATTTAGTTCAAGATATTAACCTATTTACCACTACCAGGCCACCAGCTAGAAAGCAGTGTGATGAATTGGACGTTATGCTTACTATGAAAACTCTGAATAATTGCTGAAACTCATGGTGGGGAAAAAGTTGATCAAAATAGAGAAGAAATGTATGATACGATGCTGTACATCAATACATTTATGTCTACTCAGATTTTACAACTCTAATCCATTTCAATCTTTGTCTTCAGTAAAAATTCTATGGTACAAAAGTAAGAGACACAGCACAGAATTACATTTTTGCTGGCTGTTGCTGAAAAACATTACAGTTTAGAATTCAGCTATAAAGTCATTCTACTAACCTGTTTGTAACCTTAAATGTGCTTCAATGTTCTGTAGCCTCTCTTCTATTGCTTGATTTCCACAATCATGAGAATGAGTGTTGGAATTATGATTGGAAACCTGAGCATCTTGATTTCTAGTTTGAGGTCCATAAGTATTTATAACTCGAGAAACTAGGATTTTTAAAAGTACAAAGTTAATATTTTGCCAAATAACAGGACTGAGCAAGTCCATCTGTTCATAGCCTTTTAGCTGAAAGACCCATTAGATTAAATGGAATTAATCCCAATATTATATCCTGACAGAAACTATCAACCTTAGGCATAGCTATCTCCTGCTTAAAGTATATGTGACTATTTTTTTACAATGGTCAGTGAGAGGTATTTTATCTAGATTGTCTATTTTCTTTTTTAAAAAAATTAAACATTCCTTGTATAATTCATGCTCAGAAATATTGCTACATTTCAAAAAATAAGTTTGTCAAAATATCAGTTATACTATACATTTTTCTATATCCTAATTATAGCCAGTATGTAGAAATGTATTTTCAGTATGATAAAGTCACAACTATTTAGGAATAAGGCTAATGGAAGCTTTGTTTTATCATAATTTACAAATTTACATTTGCTAAATGATAAGGTATCATTTATACATGACAGTGGTTAGGTTCACCAAGATGCTAAACCAAAATAAAATAGATATATACCATGGCTTAGCAAAATATGAATCCAACCTAAGTGTTTTGAATTACATGTCAACTCTCAAAGCAGAACTGAACTGAAAAAGCTTCTTGGATGAGAAGCAAAATGTCTTAAAGGAAAAACAAAGGAAGTCCAGTTGCCTTTTGAAAAAGCACCTCTGAGACATAAATAGCAGATGCTACAGCAGATAACTCACAAAATTTAAAGGGCAGTTTTACTTGACACTGTCTGGACAATTTCTTCATGATAGATTAGTAATAAAAATGTTACTGTCTGAACTTTTCATATCCTTTATTTAAAACAGCAAGCCACTACATTATTTAATTAAAATTTTCTATCTCATTTTTCTTCTGCGAGTTTAAGATGGTTGATTTAATGTTACTTACTGTTTATTAACAGGAATTAAATGAGCTAGTCAAATATCATGACCACAATATACAATAAAGGTCAAATACAATAAAACAGTTACAATACAGAAAGAAAGATTTTAAAAATAACGAAGATTTTTTTAAAAAAGGATAGTCTCAAAATGGAAAATTTGAACTAATCAATAGAAATGGAGGAGAATTTTGACTCTTTCCCAAACAATTTATTTGACCCATGATCATTAGCTAAAATGCTCACAGCTTGATTATTTATTTGTTAAATTTGTTCTAAAGCAAGAATTTAAATTCAGCAAAAGTTAGTTGCTGTACTTAAATCTGCAATCTTAGAATCTCTTCAACACTTCCCTCCATGAATTTTTCCAGTATTTCTTTCTGCACACATTTATTATGAAGATATAAGTCTATTGAAGCGGAAAAATGGTTTGCTATTGGCTTATCAAATTAACAGAATTCTAAGATAAACACTTAACAACAGTGATTTGTTTTGAAATACATAAAGAAAGGAACATGAACATTTATAGAATACAGTGAAATTAGTTCAAAAATATATTTAATGAAACTGAAGAGGCTTCTCTTGCCTTTTATTAATTAGCTCTTAGAAAAGTAGTCAGAGAAAGATATAATAGTACTTACCCTTCACGTGACTTTTGAAACCAGGATAAGGTGTAAACACTGCATCAGTTCTAGCACAGCTGTTTTCTAAAGATGTTTTGAACAAAAAAAAAATCATTATTTCAACCACTTACGGAGCTCAGAATTCATTCCAAATGTTCACCTAAGTGAGAAATATTGTTTGAATTCAGAAATTATGCCTAAGCTACAGGACATCCTGGCTTAATTCACTAAATTTGCTAAAATTATAAGGATATAAATTATTATGGCTTGATATGTTGTCTGATCAAACTTACCTTACTTTAACTACATTCTTAGTCTGTCAGATACAGAAGATAACAAGAATAATTCTGGCATGTCTAGTGTTATATTTTTACTAGGATTCTAATCTGAAAAGTGTTTTTTACTACTTTTCATTTATAGACTGGATTGAAATAATTTTGCAAACCCTTGTAATATATCTTTGCCCAAAGAAAATCATACTGAAGTCTGTAAGGTTTAGCCCAAATATATAGGCACAGGATTGTATACTGTGAAAATGTAAACAATCTTAAACTTTTTTATATTTACAAAAAACTGCATATTTCTAAAATGCAACATTACCAAATATACATTAGAATATACAATAAAATATGCATTATTAAATCATCAATTTAATTGAGATAAATATATTTTATATACAATAGGTGGAGATTTTAAAAAATGATAATTTTCATAATTGAAAATCACTATCATAATAATTTGGATCAAATTTTTATTTTGAAGCAGGCTATTTTTCTCTACTTAAAGGTTTTAGCAAGAAACATAGTGCTCATTTCTGTTAAGTTATATATTACCTAAAGTACTTCATGATTAATAAATTATTTCAGCAGATATTTTTAGTTTGGAAACAAATATATTTATTTTCTCAAATGAAAATCACTTATGATAGGAACAGGAATATATGTTCTCTTGAAAACTATTGAGTCTTGTTTTGTTTCTAAGAAGAAAATGGCTTGCATCATACATGAGTCACTATTTGATTTTGGTTTTATTTATAACTAGCAAATTGTGTATACAATTTGATAACTGGATTTTGTTTAACCCATTTTAATAGTCATAATGTGGATATCAAATTTCTGTCTTTTCTTTAAGAACCCAATTTTTAATATCGAGCAAATAAGATTCTTAATCTAGAAATATGACAGGTTAGTAATAAGATCTGAGCTCACTCGTACAGCATGAATGAAATGTAACTCTAAAAACAGACTTTTGTGTAATGACAAGCCATCATATAAATGTTTGGTTAGGAAATTCATTAAGAGAACCACAACTACCACTCTTGCTAGAAGTTTGGTCTAAATAAATGGTAGTCATTTTAAAAAAAAGGTCAAATTAACAAATTCCACATTTAAGCAAAAGTAATTTAGAGTAATTTGGAATGCTATTAAGAAATAGGCTAAATGGAATTTGGTTTCTCTTATTTTTAACAAGCTTTTCTATTTTTAACAAAATTTCAGTTTGGAAATATTTTATTTTTATTCACTGCATTAATACATTTCTTGAAATGTAAATAAATCATCAGTATTTTTTGTTTTATTCCACAGTTTGGTTCCATAGTGGGATTTACTCCCATATAAGTTACAGTCCAAGTCCTATATAAATATATACATATATATCTGCTGCATTGTATTCTAGGAAACTGGCTAAAAGACTACATATACTAGGAAATCCCAAAAGTACTTTTTCCATAGACATATACTTGAAAAGAAATAACTTGGGGGTCAGTGCAATTTTATTATAAATGGTATAGATTTATTATAAGGGTAAATGTCTGAAAAATAAAAACATCTAATTTTTAATCTGTACTTTAATTTGTACTTTTCTCACTGTTAATAGGAAATCTAGCTGCCTTTTTAGGAGGAGTCTTTATTGGGGAGGAGGGGAAGAAAAAATGGTGATGTCGTAAGAAAAAGTTTCGCTGCATAGCTACCTTGATTACAATCCATAACATTGCAAAATTCTCTGACATTGTTTTCATTGATCTCAGCTTGTTTCCTTTCAATGAAGGCCAATATTCGTCTTTCAATCTGTAGGTAAGAAACAACTTGTATTTAGTGTTCATTATTGCCATTCAGATTGAAAGGATTTTGACTTGATAGGAAGAAATGGTCCTACATTCACTTACTTCAGCTTTCCCAGCTTTTATCTGAACTACTTCTGGGTCAAAACCAAAAGGAGCTTCTTTCAGATTTGCAGTCTCACTGGCTGTATGTTTCATTTCCTTCTGCAGGTCTTTATCTATTACATCTGAACTACTTTCAAAATGTTCATGTTCTGTCTTGCTAAAATTATAAATGGGTGTAGTATTTTCTTCTTTAATCAAAGGCTGAAGTTTTTCCATAAAAAGCTAGGTAATAGGAGAGAAAAAGAACTGATTTAAAGCAACAGAACATGTTTTTTTAAAAAGCCTGGGATTTCTAAAACTCCTTAAAATAATTTCAGAGACCATATGTTCTCATTATTGTGTACATAATCTAATCAAATAAGAATTGAAATACCGCATCTCAAAGTGTCACTGCCCTTTTGATCACTGCCTTTTACTAATCTGTGTATTAAAAAAAAACCTCTAGAGAGCCCAGACTATCAGAGCAAATCTGTCTGTTACTCATCTATTTTGTACCAAATCAAAGCAGCAGCTTTTGGCACCAATACCACTTAATTTACATGTCATTCAAATGCTTACTCAGAACATTAAGGCTTAAGTATTTTTCCTCCTTAATATGAGAGCCAAGACTCTCATTCTGTTAAAGGTTTTGCTTTAGCATTACATCACTGACAGCATCTCCACTTGAAAGGGCAGCCACCGAAAACACAGGAGAGAAAGTAAATATCCTGTTCCAGACTCATACCTATCCCAGTGCAGCCAATATTTGAAAAACAAATGCTCTTTATTACTATACTTTCTTTTATTTTAATTTAAAAACTATATTTGCTTTTTTAAAAAATGTTTACCACTAAATCATAAAATACAGGAAAAATGAAAGCTCCACAATTCTTTAATGCCTCTGTGTTTTAAAAAGACTGAATAATGACACAATCCTGAAAAGTACTTTCAAACAATACAAACAAGGAAGAGCTGTGCAACAATTACTATTTCAATTTGTTTCTTGCTCCCACTGTCAGGAAATTCTGAAAACAGGATTTGCTGTAGATAGGCATAGATGCTCTGCCTATCTACAGAAATTTTAGTAAGCATTATTATTTATTTTGAAAATAATAAAATTGATGATTCTATAGAAGTAAACATTATCATTAAAGAACAACACAAGAACTAGGTTTTGCTCAATCTCTAGTCAATCTTATTTACTTCTAATGTGTACATTTAGAGTGATGAAATATTCAGCTGAAAATTTCCACTATTATGGTGCTACATGAACTGACTGAAATGGTGCCAATAATGTGGTAATTTTTTCCCAATGGAGTATTCATAGAAGATGCTGCTGACACATTACATTCTAATTCGATAGGAAAGCAAACCACTTATGGATATATTCTCATTGAGTACTAGGCCGAGGCTATAAGATTCGCACTAGTAATTGATCCAAGATACAAACAATGCAACTTAACTTTAATAAAAATTTAAAAAGCATCAAATGAAAATGATGTAACACTGAAACTATTTACTTGATAAAATGAAACACTAGGCACAGAAAAAAAGTTACTTTAAAAAGATCTGTGCTGGCACTAAGGTTAATTGCTGATACGCACATACACCAGGATGCATCATGCTGGGATAATGCCACTTCTTGATCCACTGAAAGCACTCCACAAACGGCAGAACTCACCCAACGCATGGAATCATTATCCTAGCGTGACATACACCTGCCGTGTTATTGCTTAATTATAACCACCCCAGATACAAATGTACTGCATTTACAGTGGAAGTGCAGAAATCAACAGGAATGCATTTTCTCAATCTACTTAACCGGAACAGCTTGCAATATTATTTCCACAATACTTCCAATAAACCTGTTATCTTAAAACAGTTAGGACCTTTAAGAAGTGAAGAACTTCTGGTGTTTCACATAGTTAGCTGCAACTATTGCAAATACAACAGTTTTAACAGTAGTGTAGAGGATTTTAAGGTTTGAATTGTGCAATTAGGTTTTGGAAAAGTGCTTAATAAGAAACATTTACCTGTAAAGAGGAAATATGCTGCTGAAGAGCAGTAAAGAGCAATTTAGGCTGAGGTAGTGACATGCCTCGAAATTTCTCCCAGTTTATGTTAATTTTCACCACATCTTCCTCCAGGTTAAACTTTAAAATCCAAACAAATAACATCAAAAAGTTACAATGTAAAACATTAGCAATTATACTAGAAGGTAATATCTGAATAAAATGTGACCCAAGAACTGCCATGCAAGATGAGATCAATGGCCCACCTAGTCTGACAGCTTGCTTTCCATACAGGCAATCAGAAGACTCAATAACAGACTTTAAAGACAATAATTATTGCTGCACAAATTCTTTGAAATTAAATATTCAGAATCCATTTGACTAAATACAAAGCCCTTCTTTTCAAACTATTAAAACTGCTTCATTTTTAACAGGCAGGCTTGCAATACTGATTTGGAAGCTTCTCCTGGATGTCTCCACAAGTTTATTTCAAATGTAAAAATGTGCAAATATGTCAGTTTTTAAAAAGTGTCTTTAAAATGTATTGTCTTAAAGAAAACAGCTTGCAAAATAAATAAGGGAAGGTGTAAAAACACGTTATCAGGAAAAAACTTTTTGAAGTTTCCTTAAAAATTACAAACTGAAAAACCTGAAATAAATTAAAGATAAAAAAAAATTAGAGAGAGGAATCAGATACCTGTATCTAGATCAAGTAGAATATTATTTAACTTAGAGATACCTTACTCTTATATACTTATTATTGTAAACATTGGGTTTTTATTGCAATATGTTGCATGTAATTGCAGATTAATATATTTTATATTGTTCAAGATCATATTTATGGATAAAAATCTGGCTTTGTTATCTATCTTCTGAAACGAAATGTCTTCAAAGAAAAACCAGAAAGTCCAGTTGCCTCTTGAACCCTATTACAGTTCATTTCAGCTTTGCCAAGTTTGGTGTTAGCAACATCTTAATGGAGACCAATTAACTTTGTTTTAATCATTGAAAATAAATTACTCTTCCTTTTCCAGAAATCCTGGCTCACTGAATTCTGTAGCTGTCAAATTTCAATTTGTTGGTAAATTGAGGTATTCATAATGATTAGAAATTAAATTTATAATCACAAGCTTCAAGAGACATAAAGATATGCCTTGCTCTCAGTTGAAGATGGACCTCTTCTGAAGTGTTTGGGGCTTGAAACCTGTCTTCTCTAGATTATTTTCTAGCAGTTTCCTGTTTTGGGACTCAGGTTTTTCTAGTTTGTGCCTTAGGCTTTTGGATTTTATTGGATTATAGATGATTTAATGTTTGCATTCTTGTAAAACTGCTGAGAATTCTATGGGAATGTGATGAGATACAAATGAAATAAATTAATATATCTAATCTAAGATAAACAGATTTCTGTATGAGTAGAGAGAGTAGAGGATCTGAAAATATGGAATATGTTTTAATCTCTTCTGTCTATATTACATCTAAAATTGTTTCAAATGATCCCCAACATATTTGGTAAAATTGTGGTATAGTGGTTACTTCCACACAAATTGAAGTCCAGATTCAACTATGGAAATGGATAGGCAAGTTAAGGCCACCTACATCCCTCAGCCCAATCTACTTCACAGGGTTAGTACTGTAGAATTGAAGAAAGTGCTGTGTATGTTATATTAAACTTTTAAAGTAGGCATGCCCAATCTTTTGGCTTGCCTGGGCCACATTGAATGAAGAGGAATTGTCTTGGGTCACATATAAAATATATATTACAGTAACTGTCATGAAACATCACAAAATATTAAATATTTAAAATATTAAAAGTTTATGATCTTGTGGGGCTGCATTACTAACTGCTTGCGGCCCATAGGATATGCCTGTTCTAAAGGGAAAGATTATAAATCTAACAAGCAATTAAAATTATGATAAAAAACATTTTAGTATTTATTCTGCTGGTAGAAGTTGGACATAACAAAATGTCATCATTCTAAACACGATAGTTAAAATAGATAGATTTGCAAATATATCCATCTTTCTCAGAATTTGGACAGTTCCTATTTCACACAGTTCCTATTTCACAATGTTTAAATAAGTAGAGGGCATATAGCTAGATTCTGGCTTAACTCAATCATCATAATACTATTTCTGGTTGCTACCAATGCCTTTCCCCTATTCATGTCATCAGCAACTGCTACACAGCATGAGAAGTTCCTATTAAGTAAGAATATTTTAGGTATTCCTAAATCCAGAGGATTTTTTTTTTCTGGTGGTTTATAAAACATACATTTTAAATCTTTTAAGATATATCTTCATTTAATCATAATTTTAGTAAAAAATATTATGAGATGTAAAGATATATAATGTTGTTGGATATTACAAATACATATGGTCTCAGCGCTATATTTTGGTATAATTAGTTCTGTATTTCATGCTCCAATGATTTTGGTGATTGTCTTCCAGTTCACTTAGTTGTAAAATTCATATGGTAAACAGAGTGCAAGAGAGCAGTTTTTAATTAGAAAAAAAATCCAAAATATTTCTATTTGTTCCAATCTTCATGTAATTTTTTGGTTGCAATTCTATATGAAGAAATTCAAATTTAGTTTAATGGCTTACTTTTGAGTATGTACTCCGAGCACTATAGTATTCAATTGTAAAAACTATTTTCAACCATTTAAAGTGAAGTAGATTTTTAATAATGTTAATAGATCATGGAAGTATAATAGCTCTGAAAAATAGCCAAGGCCACAAAATAAATTGATTTTTTGTTTTCCGGATCTAAATCCACCTGTTCATCTAAAGGAAAAAATGTCACTTTAAGTAGGCAGTCAACTAATTCCCACCCTCATTTCCATCCACTACTAGATGGATTGTGGCAAAGACATACTGTATTACAAGTCTTGAAATTATAGTTCACAGTTCTCTTGCTTCTTCCTCATTATAACAAATGCTTCTAGCATTCTTATAGATTCTTATGGCTTCTCTCTTCAACTTTTTAAACTTTTCAGTATACTTTTTAAAGTTTACAATCAAAATAACATACATCATTTACTATGGTAGCAATGTAACTAGAAGTATGGCATCTGAATAAATAGGTGCTTATTTTTAACCAAAATAGGCAGAAAAACTTCAAGGATGCAAAAGAAGATTTTGAGAATGGGACTGCATTTGTTACATTTCACCTAACTCAAGAGTACATGTTCTTTGAGAACACAAATTAAAGTTTAAAACCAGATTAAAGTTTAAAACCTTTTCCCCCAAAGTCTAAGCTATAACATTTCAAACTTACAGATAGATGTGCCTAGGTAGTCAGTTATTTAAAACCACATGTTAACATATTGTAAACATTTTTGAAATCCATGTGTTTTCCCACCCCCTCCCCTTCTTGAGATAAAGTGACAGCATCCATTTTGAATCAAAGCCATTTGTTATTCATGGCTGACAGACTATTAGATATCAGCTACACAATTAGCAAGCAAGGAAATTGTTTAAAAACAGAACAAAGAAATGAAAAGAAGATAAAACAAGTGTGTGTATATGTGTGTGAAAGTCATGTAACCCCTCATACGTGGGAACACAACATACTGTCACATCTGTTTCTCTCTGCTGTGAAAGGTAGACTATATTTAAATGTCTATGGAGATTCTCAGCCATCCAGGTCATGGTTGTCCTAAAGGTGCATTTTTCAAAAAGCAACTGGACTTTCTTCAGCAGAAGAAGCTTCTTGGATGAGAAGTGAAATGTCTTCAAAGAAAAAAAAAATCAGAAAGTCCAGTTGCCTCTTGGGGGAAAAAAAGCACCTTTGGTTATCCCAAGACTATATTTGCCATTCTGAAAGCTTCCTTTATCCATTGGTAATTCTGTGAAACAGTGAAAGAGAACAAGGCACCAGACACATCATCAAAGAAAGATATCATTTCCAAAACTAAATCAAACACGAAAGAAAACCCTCCAAAAGGCTCCCAAATCTTGAATGCCTAAGCAATTACATCTCATCTGCGTCTCCGTGATTTCCTCCAAAGGCGGCGACCTGAATTCCTTCCTTGTGGCCCATTCAGAATAGCTGCAATAATCTGGCGATGCACCTCAACCTCAGAGACGGTTTTGAAAAGCATCTCAAGGCGTGTAGGAGAAAAGGTGGGAAGAAGCGCGCTCGCTACTTTTAGCGCGGTTCCTCCCCGAAGCCAAACCGAAATCAGAGGCTCTGCTAGTTCATCCTTTGACTCCTACAGCAACTCTGGGCCAGCTTTCTTGTTCTCGTCCCTTCAAGCAAGCTTCGTTTCAACCCCGCTATCTCCGGAGTCTTCCACACACAGACACAGACACACACCCCGCCCGGGCATTGGGAAAGCAGAGGCGATTGGCGATAGGGAAGACCGCTATCTAGACACCCGTCCCTTTGCCGAGTGGAGGTATGGCTTCATTCCCCCTCCTTACTTACCTGCCCAATCAACCGAGGCAGCGAACGCAGGGAAGACCTCAAGACCTCTCCGACCGTCTCTTCGAAGAAATCCCTCGGCGGAGAGGGATCCTGGGGCGGATTCAAGCGTACCTCTCCTTCCGCGGAGGCCATGACAGCCGATGAAAACAAACGCTATTGGTCGCGTAGGGAATTGCGCGTCTCTCCCTCGGCTCCTGCCTCGTGTCGCACAGAGATGACGGCATAGGCTCCCCCCCCCCCCCCCCCTCCCCCCCCCACCACGCTCCCACTTTAGGAGTCCTTAATCCGCCTGAGAGCGAGACGCAGCCGAGCTGCCGTAAAGGGAAAAGACCGGGCTGTGACGCTTCTTCGGGGCTGCCTCCTTTTTTAGGGGCGTTGTTGTACTCTCGTCTTCTCTTCTTGCAGAAGTGGGGCGCTTAGCCTTCTGCGGATGTTGCGAGCCGTGTGCGTAGGAAAACAGATTGCTTGGAACAGCGATCTGCAACTTGCATTCAAAGAATGCAAATAATGTCCTGCTGTTCTGGAAAAGAACCGAATGATCAAAAACTGCAGCTGGGGAATACAGTATTTGGTGGTTGTTCGGGGTCAGTCCTCTCTGCGCATGGCCCTTGGTAGTTTAGTCATCCTGCTTTGTCTCTAGGAATTAAAATCTCAGTTCGCTGGAGAAAAGCCCACGGAGAAAAGCGAGGGAGATGGGAGAAAAATAGGGTTTCGTTGCTGATGGAGGCAGGGAGCCTTGAAAAGTGACACCTGAGTTGAGAATATCATGTCCTAATGGGGCTAAGCACGTGTAAAATCAAAAGCTATTGTAGGAACCTCCCCCCCCCCACAAAGAATGGAATATTTTGGGAAATATTAAAAAGGTAGGATAAAATATTTTCCCTAAAGGAGAAATAAAAATCTTAAGGGAGACAGAAACCAGCCCCAGTTTCCCTGCCCCAAGCAGAAACTGAGGAGGCCAGCTTTTAGAAATGCAGATTTGATAATCCATTCAGAAAGACTGGGTCAAGACAGAAACTCAGATAAGCAACAAAGGGTTGACAAAATTAGCTCAGGCAAACACCTAGGATTTGCATTTCCCCTTTTGCCTATAGAGTAGGGATGTCAAACTCGCAGCCCACAGGCCAGATGCGTCAGGGGCATTTTGCTGTAATGCTTTATTTAATATACATTTATCATCTGCTCATGATAGAACTGTCTGGCTTCACAGGGGTCACAATTGTAGTCTCCCATTTTGCATGGTCGACAGGTTCCAGGTTTCCTTGGCTGATGAGCTTGTCAAGTTGCTCATCATCCTTTGCGCGCAAGGCAAACAGTACTCTTCGCAGTTTCATTTGGATCGGAGAAACCTAGAGGTCAAGGTTGAATGAGATGAGTGTGCTTGTATACCTGCCCAGTTTTCCGTCAGACATCTGCAAAATCAGAGATTAAGGCCTCAATATCAGAATCACTGACGGAGTTGATGCCAGTGATTCCCAGACCCAGGAGGAGAACCAATCTAGTCTTAGAAGACTCAGTAGGGAGCCGTCCACTAAGAGCAGTTGCAGTGGGCCCGAGAAGTCCTTGAAAGTTGTTCTAAAAGTGCCAGTTACAATGACAGGAATGCTATTCCCCTGGTAGTCTCGGAGGTGAATATGGTTAAAGTCCAACTGTGTTTTTGATATTTTTGGCACCGCTCTCTTTAGGGTGTTCCAGGAAATGATGATCATTGAAGATCCCGTGCCCACCTCCATGAGGCAAGGGGAGCCCTCAATCTGGACAGTGACATGGACCTTCTTGCAAGAGAAGAGGCTGGCTTGACCGATGATTGCTTCTGCCTTGCAGGTGCCTCTGGAGACAGTGAAGCAGTCCTCTCAATGACTCTGTTGTCTTTTCAGCATTTTTTGGGGCAAGTTTCTGGCCTCACAGTCTTGAACTTACACGCCATTCACGGATGATTGCCACCACAACAACACATGCTGGTTGCCTCTTTTCTGTGGCCACATTCCTCCCTTTGGAGGATTTGAGGCAATAGACATCATCATCCTCATCTGCTGATTCACCGTGGTTACCATCTTCATGGTGCACAGTGTCTGGTTTCCGCAGTGCTGGTGGGCTGTTTGATTTTTGAATCTCAGCCGTTGACTGATTGGACATCTTGGCTGCTTGTGCCTCGTCGAGCGCCCTCTGCAGGGTGAGGTCTGTTTTTGCAAGGAGACGCTGCTGTAGATTAATGTCCCTCACAACACAGACCACTCTGTCCAAGAAAGCGTCATCTAAGTTGTGACCGAGGCCCACGTAGTGATTACCAAACACAATTCAGTCCTGAACAAACTTATTAAAACAGCTGAGAATTAATTCATTCTCAGCTTTAGTCCAAAACAAATTCTTCGGCCTTATCATCAACCTTTGATGTCTTTGGCAACATACCAAAGGCTTTTCTTGGCAAAACCCCCACAAAGTTCAAGAGACACTGATAAGAAGCACTAGAATCAACGTTGCTTTTCTACAAAGAACCCAACGGCTCATTGCTGCTCTTTTAAGCCTTATGGGAGTGGCCAATCATCTTCTGGCCTTACTCCCGAGTCGTCCTTTTTGCTTCAGCTGCTCTTGCCTTCTGGCAGCTCTTCACATGCGTGCACTAGGAACAGGCTCCTCCTGTTCCTCTGCCTCTCTGCTGTCTGCCTCTGGAGGCTTTGGAGTCTGCGCATTGCTTCCAGATGGCCCTGGCCCCATCTCTGCCTCCGACGCAGAGCCCTCGTCCGGGCCTTCCCCTGACTCCAGGACTGGCCCATTATCCTCCCCAGCCTCCTCACTGTCCAACTCCACTGCCAGGTCTGCAGGCTGCTGGCGGACCACAACAGTCCCTGAATTCACAATACAGGACTGTTTTTTGAAGGGTGGCAATGTATTTGTTGATGGATTCACCTTCAGCCTGATTTAAATGATGGAAGGCATGCCATTGTGCAATTCATGAAGGTTTGGGCGCATAGTGAGACCCTAGCTTGCTCTGCAGCACGTCCCATGGCACAGACTGAGCGGCCAGTGGAGCAAGGAGAGTCCTGGCCGTCTCAAGGATCTCTGGGCCACAGAAGTTTAGGAAAAGCACCATTTTCCTGTTATCGGTAATCTCAGCAAAGTCATTGGCTTTGAGGAAGCAGTTGAAACGAGCAAGGTAGGAGTCCCATGTCTCAGAGACTGGGTTGTATGGGGCAAAAGGCAGTAGTGCAGCCATTTCCCAAGAGACCGATGAGTCTATGGTCAATGAAGTGGCAGCAACTGTGGATCAGTTCCGGTGATTCAGCTTGCAGCCTCAGTTTCCATTCGATCCCACCTTTGTTACCAGTGTTAATGGAGGCAAGGCCAGAGTGATTTCTAACAGTTCTTTATTCAATACTGCCTGTGAGGCAATCTCTCTCCCTGGCTGAGAGAGCTCCTTTTATATGAAACTGATCAGCCAAACAACCAATTAGGAGAGAGTATTTTCCCGCTCCAACAGAGGACCCAAATGAGAACTTCAACTGACAACTACAGTATACACTATATACAATACATAACATAAACATTCATGTTTAGTCTTCCTGTCCAGAAAGTACATTGTATACATTATTAATCACTGGTGCATTATGTATTGCACACACAAAGATAAAGCCTGCAGAAATAGTCATAAACCATATGATTATGATAATAAACACTTTGATTTAATGTTTACTGCTGGTAATGTAAACAACCCACCAAAGTTGTTCAGCATGAGACTACTGTGGGCATATCTCAAGGACCTCAGGCTGACGTACCCTTGCAGGTAGGTCCTCCTTATCAATAAAGGGGAACATCTGTCCCTACGTCACCTTTTTCCTAATACTCTATTGTAATACGTATTTTAAATAAATGAATAACATTATTTTCAAAATCTCTTGAGACATCTTTTTTTTTTTGGCATTCTTTTTCATTCTTAACAATTAACAAAACCATCTTTAGTAACCTAATATTTTAGTGTTAGTACACTGCATAACTATACATTCTACTTGGATGAAGTGATGTGGTAACAATATTTTGGCTTAAAATGCCTTCATAGCTGGCATTAAATAATTTGAGTATGTTTGGGGTAAAAAAAAAATGGCTTGTGCTGTCGGGTTCTTTTATACTTTACCTAACCTGATGGGTTCAAAACACAGAAGAGTGAACAACTTAAATCCCTAGACAAAACACATGTATTTCACATATTTGAGCCAATTTCACATGTATAGGCATCAAAACAATAGGTGTTGTTTTGGATATTCCACATTTTATGGATATTCCACTGTTACCACCACTTCATATATTTTTTTTAAACTATACCAAATTGGATGGGTTCAAGACATTATTACTACTTACTACTACTCTTCTTCACTCTTCCCTGCTGCTATTACTATTTCTACTACTTGTGAGTACTGATAAAGAAAAATATTCCTTTCTGGCTTCTTTCACACACCTTCATCTGTTTCACAGCAAAGCTTTTGTGCTCAACTTTGTTGTGTGGATACTAGGGATAGGGCTTAAAGAGAAGGGAAGAAAGCAGCACAGATGCTGGCAATTTTCTGGGCAGCCTGCTCTGTCACAGTGCCATGCCTGCAAAACTGATTGGTACTGTTTTTATCCTTTAAAAAATGATGCATGTGACACAGGAACTACCAAGGTTGGAAACCTCACTCTTTCTCTCTTTAGGAATTGTGAAAGCCTTAATTGACCAAAATCATCATGAGTAGCATACTGAGTAGAGCATCTTTGGGTCTATCTAGGGACAACTATGGCATATGAGGGATGGTGAATTCAATGTAAGAAGAATAAATGGTACAAAACATGAATTAAATAATGGTATGTTGTGTGCAGTGTTGAAATCCATTTTTTTTTACTACTGGTTCTGTGGCCGTGGCTTGATGGGCATGGTGTGGCTTGGTGGGTGTGGCTTGGTGGGCATGGCAAGGGAAGGATACTGCAAAATCTCCACTCCCACCCTGCTTCAGGGGAAGGATACTGAAAAATCACCATTCCCACCCCATTCTGGGGCCAGCCAGAAGTGGTTGCCGATTCTCCAAACTACTCAAAATTTCCGCTACCGGTTCTCCAGAACCTGTCAGAACCTGCTGGATTTCACCCCTGGTTGTGTGTCTCTGAAACCAAAAGAAAGGAAAAACACTCATTTGAGTGGAACTACTCCACATTTG